TATGGACTCCGCAGTGTGAAGATAGTTTCCAAGAGTTGAAGAGAAGGTTGACAACTACGCCAGTTTTGATTTTGCCTAAACCATCTGAACCGTTTACGGTCTATTGCGATGCTTCTTTGATGGGTTTAGGAGGTGTGTTAATGCAAAATGGGCAGGTTGTGGCGTATGCTTCGAGGCAACTCAAGGTGCATGAGAGGAATTATCCAACTCGTGACTTGGAGTTGGCAGCAGTGGTTTTTGTGTTAAAGATTTGGAGGCATTATTTGTTTGGGTCATAGTGGATAGATTGACTAAATCTGCACACTTTATTCCGATTAGGATGGATTACACTATGGAGAAGCTTGCTAAGTTGTATGTGGAACGGATTGTTTGTTTACATGGTATTCCTACATGTATTGTTTCAGATAGAGATCCGCGTTTCACTTCAAGATTTTGGGAAGGTTTACAAAGAGCCTTGGGTACTAAGCTGAGATTGAGTTCCGCTTATCATCCTCAGACGGATGGTCAAACAGAGAGAACAATTCAGTCACTTGAGGATTTGTTGCGTGCTTGTGTTTTGGATCAAGGAGGTTCATGGGAGAGTCATTTGCCTTTGATTGAGTTTACTTATAATAATAGTTTTCATTCTAGCATTGGCATGGCTCCTTTTGAGGCATTGTATGGAAGACGGTGTAGGACACCTTTGTGTTGGTACGAGACGGGAGAAAGTGCTATAGTTGGTCCGGAATTGGTTCAAGAGGCTACGGATAAGATCAAATTGATAAGAGAGAAGATGAAAGTGTCTCAGAATCGCCAAAAGAGTTACTACGACAAGAGGAGGAAACCTCTTGAGTTCAAGAAGGATGAACATGTGTTTTTGAAGGTGAATCCAACTACGGGTGTTGGAAGGGCGCTTAAATCGCGGAAGTTAACACCTCGGTTTATTGGTCCTTATCAGATTTCAGAGCGGATTGGAAGTATGGCTTATCGGATTGCATTGCCGCCATCACTTTCAAATTTGCATGATGTGTTTCACGTTTCGCAATTACGAAAGTATATTGCGGATCCGTCTCATGTGGTGCAAGTTGATGATTTGGAAGTTAGAGATGATTCGACCGTGGAAGCTTTGCCTACAAGAATTGATGATAGGAAAATGAAACAATTAAGAGGAAAAGAAATTGTTTTGGTTAAGGTTGTTTGGGGTGGAGCGGCCAAAGGAAACATAACGTGGGAACTTGAAAGTCGGATGCGGGATTCCTATCCCGAGTTGTTCGTTTAGAGGTAATTTTCGAGGCCGAAAATCTTTTAAGTGGGGGAGAGTTGTAACACCCCGTTTTTGATTAAATGTTATTTAAGTTATTTTTTTCCCGAAATTATCAAATTAAATCTATTTTAAGAAATATATTTATTTGATATCAATTAAAATGTTAATTCGGTTATTTGAAATAAAAAATATTCATAATGATAAAATACTATTTTGAGTAATATTATTTTGGTGTGTATTTGGCTTCGTTTGATTTATCAGTATAATTTAGTTTTTATGGAATAAATATTAATTAAATGTAATATGGTTTTAATAGAATTATATGATATAATTTGAATTAAATAGATCGGGCCAAATTAGAATTTTAGAAAGTTAGGGGGAGGAAAGTAAGTAGTAGTAAAATTTGTTTTATAAGATAGAAAGTAGGATAGTTGGTAAGAATAGAAATAGAAAGAAGAAAGAAAAGAAGAGAGAAAGAGGAGAAGAGAAGAAAGGAAGCTAGGTTTGGAGTTGCAACATCATCATCATCTTGTTTCAAGAAAACCCACACCAAGGTAAGGGGTTTGATTTTTTTCCAATACTTATAGTTAAGGTGTGATTTGGTATATTTTGGATTTAGGAGAAAAATTGATGTTAGGATTCTTGAGATTTGTTGAGATAAATTAGGAGAGTTAATTTAGGTGTTAGTGTTGTGAAATTATTGTTATGTTAATAGAAATTAAATTAGAAAAACTAAATTATATTAATTAAGTTTAGTTTTTTTTTTAAATAACAGTATTACTAATTGCAATGAAGTTTATAACAAGTAGCAGTATATTTATGAAATAGAGTTTAGAAAAAGTATGCATAGCAGTATAGTTAACTTTATAAAAGAAAGTATACATAGCAGTATAGTTAAGTTTATAAAAGGAAGTATGCATAGCAGTATAGTTAAGCTTACCGAAAGAATGCTGTATAATTTAATGTAATAGCAGTATGTTAACTAAATGAAAATAGAAATCTATGCTACCAATATGTTAACTAAATGTAATAACAGTAGCTTACAAACAAAAAAACTAGCTGTATGGTTTAGAATAAACAAAAACTAAGAGTGTAGAAACTAAAGTGCTAGCGGCATTAGCGGTATATTAATCGAATTGAAATTAAGTTTATAAAATTAATTTATGTTTTGTTTTCTTTTCTTAATTAATATATTAAATATTTATATTAAATAAATACTTATATGACATAAGTTAGCCGATTTAATTTGGAACCCGATTATATTCCGATTTCCCGATTTCGGCAATTTCGGTGACGGAGTAAGTTGCTCTGAATTTACCGAAAATTGACGTGCTAGCATAATTCGACGTGTAGATTAACGTAGTGAAGTTCGTTTTGTGAAATTTCGACTTTTTAAGAATCAACCCGATTTTAGTACGAAGTGAAATAAATTGAGTTTAATCCTGAATTTAAGCGTTCGAGTTACATTCCGGTGACTCGATCGCGATGAGTAACATTGAGAGTAATGCCGGTTCATTGATGATGACTTTATGTTGAAATATACTTTCCGATTTGGAATTGTTTGATAGTTGATGGTTTATGTTTTGGTTGAGTAAGTAACTTGTTTGTATACATTTTACTTGACGTTGTGATTGTTAAATTATATGTATGCATGCATGTACAATAGTTGATGTTCCATTGGTTGGATTTGATGGTATGTGTATGTTAAGATTATTGTGAATCTTAATTGCATGCATTGGTTATATTGTACATTGCATGGCATGGTTGGTCTTGAAACAGAGACGGTGAAACTGTGGGTTCACATGATTTTATAGACGGTGACCCTAGTGTGGGAATAGACGTAGTGACCTTGATCCGGAAGGGAAATATAGGTGGTGGAACATTGAGTCCACAATATCTAGACGGTGACCCTATTGTGGGAAAAGACGTAGTGACCTTGATCCGGAAGGGAAACATAGGTGGTGGAACCTTGGGTCCACGAGTCGGTACCGCATTCGCATACGTTGAGTCGTGTTGTGAGTCACATGCATAATTGTGCATGTTATGTATGTGTGTTGATGTGTTTGATTATGTGCCAATGTTGTTGTTGTTTGAATTATGGTTATGTGCCAAGGATGTGAGTATTCGGATAATCGGTTTACATGGTTAATGCGTTGGAAATGGATTCCTTGAGTAAGGATACTATAGGTGATAAAATGAACATGATCATTATGTATTGCTTTATTTATTGCCATTTCATTTACTTAAAATTACATGTTATATGATTATTGGAATTCTTACCCTTCTGTTGGAAAATGCTTTTGATGGCATTGTTCAGGTACCGAGGACGGTAGCGCGAGGCGCTAGTTAACGGATGCATTGGATTGCAATCTGTTTTATTTTGATTAGAGTCGAGTCGATGCTCTGGTAGTAACACATGGGGGGGAATTCATTTAGTGTCGAACTCGATTATTTTGTATTTGGATCATGATGTATATAATCCTTATTCGTGTATATGATGTTTTGTATATGTGAGACTTGATAACATATGCTTATGTGAATTATGATGGCTTGATGCCTTGAATTACGTTTTGATTCCTCCATAAATGGAGATGATGTGAAATTATGAAACTCCGTTGCGTTTGCACGAGAGAATGAAGTAAATATTTATTGTATGTTTGTTTTGTGTTGGAATGCTTATACTTTCAAACATACCCTGTCCATTTTTCTTTAAAAACTTTGGAATGTGATGTGTGTTGTGGCATCCCTTCCGTGCAATTTTATTTCTCTGATTTTAATCTTTACCTTTAATTGGGGTATTTAGAAGGGGTGTTACAATAGTGGTATCAGAGCATAGTCGGTCAGTTGTCAGGTCTTATTTTGTTAATCCCTTGTATTTGATTGTGTGGCTAACGCGATCAATACTTTGTGTTGTTCAGAAGATGGCTGGTAGAAGGAATGATGATGCTTTAGCTGAGGCATTGAGGTTGCTTGCGAGGTCAATTAATCAGATGCCGCAAACGACTCAAGCGCCACATGATGGTACTGAAGATGCTTTCCGTGCTCTTGGGAAGTTCCAAAAGAACAGTAATATATTCTTAATAGCATACTAATTTTATGCATAGTACGGTATAATTTGTAAAAGATATAATTTATTATTTAAATAAACAGTAATATAATACAAAAAATAAATGAATTTTGAGAGTAATGGCAAATAAATTTAAAGAAGAAGAAACAAAATTGAGTAAAACAAATTAAAGGGGAAAGAAAAAACCGCATTAATATTTTTTATTAAATATAGGAATATGCTTAATTGTAAGAAGAAAAAAAAGAAAAATATAAAAGGCAAAAATATATCTCAATCATTTATTTAGCACCACTATTCCATAATTATTAGTGGAGTAATCTTCTAAACTGGATCGTTATATTTAATCACAAATTGTACTCTCCGAACCCTAAGCTTTGTTGTTAATAAAGAGATACTATAGTCACTCTGTAGTCGAAAACATGTGTAGAAGTGTCATCAAACATCTTTATGTGTAACTTACAATGACCAGAAAATCTTGTTTTCAACATTTTTATAGGGTGGATGATAAAAATCTCTGTGGTTCAAATGAAAAAATGAAGGTAATTGCTCCCATTGTTGCATCAATATCTCCAGTTATAGTTCTGTTAGTCATTTCCATTCTCTGTTGGAAGCTTAGAAGAAGTGTTTATAGTGTATATACATTTTCACTTTTGAATTCTTTTATATTTGAATGTTTTTAGTGATGCTTTGATGAATGATGTGTTTTGGATTGAAGGATTGGATTATCTACACCATGGATGCAAGCCACCTATAATACACCGAGATGTAAAATCGGCTAATATTCTTCTAAGTGAAGACTTAGAAGCTAAGATAGCAGATTTTGGACTCTCTAAGGTGTTTAAGGATAGTGATAATGGAAATTCAGAATCTGCAATTATTCATGTTGATGATAAAAATGAAACATCTACAATAATGGGAACAATGGGGTACCTTGATCCAGAGTAAGTCCTCATCTAGTTGATTCTTTTCCATTCTGATCAGTCAACATCTATAACTTTTGTAACGATTCAGTTCAATTTTATTCATGAATCGGACCGTAAATAGTCTTACTTGTCGGAAGTTATTTTTATTAGTGCATAAGTCATGAATGAAGTCCTATTAAATTGCATTTTTCTAGCACATGATAACCATATGCAAATAGAGTTTCATGATCTTATCATGGATTAGTTAAGTGAAATTAGCTACATTATGATTTATACAGGTACTACAAATTAATGAACCTGAATGAAAAAAGTGACATCTATAGCTATGGAGTTGTACTATTGGAATTAATCACAGGTCTCCCTGCAGTGATTAAAGGAAAGCCATCAATTCACATACTTGAGTTTGTAACACCACATATTGAAAAAAGTGATTTAAGCAAAATTATAGATCCAAGACTCCAAGGAAAATTTGATGAAAATTCATGCCAGAAAGTTTTAGGATTAGCAATTTCTTGCACTGCATCAACCTCAATTCAAAGACCAACAATGAGTGTTGTGTTATCTAAGCTTAAACAGTGTGTTAAAATGGAGTCTCCTAGTGATAGGGAAATATTTGAGCCACCAAGACATATTTACAGTGAACTTTCTAGTTCATCTGATGCTTTTAAATCCATGGATAGTAGTGAATCTATGACACATCCTTTCCCAAGGTAATAGTGTATATTGAGGACACTAAGAAGTATTGTTTTTCAATTTTGTAAATTTTATTTAAACCATACACATACATAGCATTGTTGTCTTATTTTGAGTGGTATAATTTTGTCTTATTGATCATGTATTCATGTATACAAAAGAAATACATTTTTTTTCCACTTGCACAATTTTGCTTTATGATATCAAAGTGAAGAAATCAAAAATTGGTGAGAAAAATAGATAGAATCTTTATGGAGGTACTTGTATAAATTGAAGAGTCCAATCCTTTTATGCTGTGTTTGATAAAGTTTCACGTCATTGTCAATAATAGATAATGTATGATTGACTAGGTATTGAATTACTTAAGGTGTGTTTGAATTACTAGGTATTGAATTACATAATTGAGTTGAGTAGAATTTATTTATTTATAGATATATTTATATAAAAGTGAGTTGAACAATAAAATTTAGTGTAAAAATCATTCAGAATCAATTTTAGAGACAGAAGCTACAAATTTTAGTTTCAAGTAGAATCAATTCTAAAAACAAAATCAATTTTATTTTTATATAACTTTACATCTCAAAATCATCTAGAATCTATTCTACACTTTTAAAGTTACTTTTGACTCTTCCAAAAGCTAAACCAAACATATACTTATTCAATAATATATCTTGATTGTTAGCAAAAATTTGTGGTCAATGAATTTTTTTCTTATAAGAAAAAATAGTAAAAATGTCTTAAATCCCAACTAAGTTGACATTTTAAAGAGGCACTAACTTAAGAAATACTTTGATGAATTATATTAATAAAAATAAAGATTTAATCGTAATTTTTTTTCTTTCTAGTTTGATCCTTTATTATAAAATCTGAGTTTTTGATTCATTTTGTTTTTTTCCGATGAATTTAGTCCTTTTTAAATTAGAGATCAATTTTTAATGACATGACATTAGTGGTGATAATGTGTTATTGGCAAATGTACGAAATTTTATTATAGATTATTTAAAAAAAAAAAATTTAATTTAATAATAATAACTTATTATTATTATTATTATCTTATTATTATTATTATTATTATTATTATTATTATTATTATTATTATTATTATTATTATTATTATTATTATTATTATTATTATTATTATTAATAAGAGAAATTAATATAAACACTATCCATTTCAGTTGAGTACTTTATTCTTCTTCTTCTTCTTCTTCTTTTTTTTCTTCTTCTTCTTTTTGTATTCATCGTCTCTTCTTCTCCTCTTCGTGATTCCTTTCTTCCCTGTCACGAGCTCATTCATTTCATTGATTCATAACTGACTCATGATCCTCATTTGCGTCAACTTCAGATCTAAGAAAAAGAGGGAATAAAATGTTGGTGTGACACTGAGTCACTTTTGATGACATCATGGACTTACGAAAAATCCCAGAAGAAGGTTTTATGGTTGTGGTTGTTTTAAGGTGACGGGGAAAATGTTGTAATTATTTTGAATGGTTTGATGAATAAATGAGCAATCACACAAAAGGGATGAGTTTTAATGATAACAAAGTACTTAAAGAACAATTGGATATACTAATATTTTCTTAAGTGTGCAGGATTATTAAACTCTCAATTAACTTGGTTCTGACCCAATTAAATAACTTATGAAGAGAAGTAGATGACTCTGATTCAGAAGGATTAAAATCTGATCATTGCATGGAACCTCAACTTCCGATGACATCTCAGAACCTGGTGACCTGGACACATAGTACAACGCCTCTAGTCTGTATTATGTGAAAAGCAACTCCATTTTGTCAAAAGCCAGATTATGGAAAAAGTCAACTAGAGTTCCTTGTGGAAGGCTCAAGGTTTCATGACACGAATTCTTTAGAATGTCACAACATCCTTGTGACTGCTTGGCTTGAGAAAGACATAATGGTTAAAGCATTTATTTAGAAGTTAAAGATCCTAATAGTACCAACTTCCAACGTCTCTTTTTGGAAATTGCTTCTTCAGCAAAGACACTTGTGCAAGTTAGCTTCCAACATCTATTTTGTTGCCTCTATATAATGAGATGAAGATTCAAAGGAAAAACAACAAAAATATATAACAACAAGAATAAGAACTGATATGATCACTAAGCTCTCATATCTATATATATATATATATATATATATATATATATATATATATATATATATATATATATATATATATATATATATATATATATATATATATATATATATATATATATATATATATATATATATATATATATATATATATATATATATATATTTGTTTTTTTGCACATAGTCTTGAGATTTTTTACCTTTGTATATCTTAAAAATCTCAAGTAACAAGGTCTTTGTTTGTGTTGTGTTCTTTATGTACCTCTGACTGTATATCAAGTATATCTTGTTGTAAATCCTAAACATTTTATTTAGAATAAAGTCTCAGACTGAGTGTTTGAGCAAGAAAGTCTCTAGCTAGGTTGCTTGAGCAAGGAAGCCCTGAATTGGTGTGTTTAGGAAAGGAAGTCTCATTCAAAATTGATTGAACAAGGAAGTTTTGGACTGGCGTGTCTAAGCAGGTTGTAATCAATTTTGATTATAGTGGAAAATCTCTTGTGGGATAAGGGGGTTGGACTACTCTCAGTTGTAGAGGAACCATGATAATATATGTGTGCTTTTACTTGTTGCTTCTATGTTTTAAATCATTCTGCTACTATCTACTCTGGTTCAGAATCTGAACTTGTCCAGATTCAGAAGCTACTATTAAAAGAAGAAAAAGTTTCTCTAATACACAATCCAACCCCCCTTCTTGTGTATTTTTTTCACCTTCAGTTGGCATCAGAGCACGATCTGTGCTAAACACTTAACAGTGGTACAAAAAAAGATCCTAAAGATAAAAGTATACTAAATGGGTGATACTGGTGATGGTCATGTTACTGGAATTAGTATACCACGTGATTATAGTGCTCTTGAAAAGAGTCAATATTATGTTAAACAACCAATATTCAGTGGTGATTCCAATCACTTTGCATGGTAGAAAAGAAAAATGTACACATATATTATTGGGCTTGATGACGAGTGTTATACCCCAAAATTTGTCCTCCCATTTTTCTTCAAGACATTCTCATGAGATTCTCAAATGCTGAAGGTGGCTCAATAATTGATCAGACAAATTCTCTTCCTAAGCAATGGATCCAAAACTAGAGTTTTGTGCTTCTCAAAGAAAACTGGGTTTTCAAAGGTCTCAAGTGGTTTCCATATTTCTCCATAGGTCTTTAACAATTCTCATATCAAATTTCAAGTCTTGCATCACAAGTTTGCACAGTCAATGGTTCAAATGATTGAAAATCAACTGTATTGGGTAAAAAGTCAACCGTGGTCAACATACAATCAAATTTCAAGATTTTTGGTCAACATTAACATTTTGAAGTGATATTCATCATTTGATCATTATTCCTCAAGAAAAGCCCTCAAATCATTAAAAGTCAAAAGTTGCTAAAATTAGGGTTTCCTTAGGAGAAGTCAAATGAACTTTGACTAGGCATAACTTTCACATGCTTCATCAACTTTTCCCCAACCAAAACCCATTTTAAATGAAACTCAATTCTATACATCTTTTTAATTTTGTGCTCAAGTCCAAAAAGTTCTCCGTTTGAGAGATATGAGTCAATACATTACAGGTCATTTAAAAACTCAACAAAAAGACACTTTTTGTCAAGGCAACTTACACCAAGATAAAGTTTCCAAATGCAAAAATGATCAAAAGATAAAGTGAAAAGGACATCTTCAGCTTTCTAAAAAGTCCAATAGAACCTCCAAAAGATGAAAATTGATAGAGTTGTGGCCATTACAAGTTGAGAATTTTTGGTAGAATGCATGAATTTCAAATTGAGCAAATTTGTAATGTTGAGCTATTGAGTCTAAGTTTTCATATCCAAACGTGTTCATGACATGTTTAAAGGCCCATAAGTCCATTCATGCATTGTATTCTATTTTTAGTTTATTTATTTTGATTTTTATTTAATTAAACACAAAATAAATTAAATAAATATAAACTTAATGGACCAAAGCATGAGGCCTTTGATTTCAGTCATGTTGGAGGCCCAAGATCTCATGTACAAGCTGTCAAATCCGTGCAAGAGTGATTGGTACAAAATCTTGGCCAAAATAGCAAGTTTTACATAATTATAAATCCAATATTTTTCTCATAATCATGCAAGATTTTCTTCAAGTTTTGTTGACCTAATTTCATGACATATATATACCTATAAGATCAGATGCAAAGAACGAAAAACACTGCCTCAAAACACCTCTAAAAAATTCTCAAAAATTCAAAGGATTAGGGAAAATACAAACCCTACTCTACAGCCATTCCCAAGCCGTTTCAAGCCTCACATCATCTTCCTGAAGTTGCCAGGAGTCAATACCAGTCCTTACCCATCACAAATCAACCCCAGGACGCTTCCTTGCACGAGCTTCAGTTGGTAAGTGGGTGAGTTTTGACTTTTAAGGCTCAACATGATTTCAATCATTGTAAGCATTCTAGCATAATTCATACACATTATTAGAATCGTTCTAACGTTTTACATGTGATTTTAATGCAGAAACAAAATTGTGCCATTGTTAGGGCATGAATCTTTTGAAGCTTTGGATCTTACGATACAAGCATTGTTAGGCTAAACTAACCATACCATTGGAATCGCAGGACCTTAATTAGTCAATTAGGGTTGTTTTCCTTTTTGTTTCGTTTGAATTTTGCAGGTTTGTATTTTTATACCATCAAAGATGATGACCAGAACCGCCGTCCATGATGGCTTGACCGATAGTTGAAATCGCATGGCAAAACAAAATGTTTTGATTGGTCCATACAAAAGACAGAGGCCCCACTTATGTGCGCGTGTTTTATTTGTCTGACATTTAGCTTTTGTTTTATATTATATATGTTTTGATTGATATAAACTAATGGATGTATGGTCACCCCAATGGTAGCGCGCTTGCCCTTAAGACTTTACTATGCATGTACCCGAG